GAATTAGCCCTAAGCACTGCCAGGTATGGCCCAAACACCAAGACAAGGCAAAACATAAACACATTTTAATGTATGATTGCTTTGTCTGTTTGGGGGTCACACCCGGTGATGCTCAGGAGTCAGTCCTGGCTCTGCACTCAAGGGAATCACTCTTGGCAGTGCTCAGGAGACCATCTGGGATACTGGGGACCAAGCCCAGGTTGGTTTTATATATATATATATATATATATATATATATATATACACACACTTATATATACTATTTCTCTGGCCTTATACAATTTTTTCCTTTATACAATACAAATTGATTACATATACCTGGAGTGGGTTAGCCATGTTTACATAGTAAAATCACTCCATCCACACCCACACACTAATACAATCACAAAATTGAACAGAAGGGAACCAGGATCTTTGAGGCCGAGTTCCTGCCCAGGTCTGGACTCTGGGGGAGAAGGAAAAGAGCCAAGGGGGTTGGGGACGGCACAAGGGGACAATTCATACTGGCACATGCCAACTCTGAGCAGGGGCCTAGCCCTGCACGGGCCCTGGGCACCACTAGGTGTGGCCCTCAACCTCAAGAAATAATAGTGGGCCTGGAGCGATAGCACATCGGGGAGGGCATTTGCCTTGCACGTGGCCGACCCGGGTTCGACTCCATGCATCCTATATGGTCCCCTGAGCACTGCCAGGAGTAATTCCTGAGTGCAGGGCCAGGAGTAACCCCTGAGCATCGCCAGGTGTGACCCAAAAAGCGGGTGAAAAAAAAAAAGAAAAAGAAAAAAAAACAATAGATCCATAAAAGCCTGGGAGAGGCATAGAAGCCTTTTCAGCCCCCATGTGGCCATTCTGGAATTCACTCTATGTTCCTTGTGTCACCCAAATACTCTTGTCCAGAACCTAAGGACCCACACAACTCAATCTGCTTGTCTTTCCCAATCTCTGAATGTTGGCCTCCCCTTCAATTTTATTTTTTGCTCTTTTTGGGTCATAGCAGGTGATGCTCAAGGGTTACTCCTGGCTCTGCACTCAGGAATTATTCCTGGTGGTGCTCGGGGCACCATATGGGATGCTGGTGATCGAACCCAGGCCGGCTGCAGGCAAGGCAAATGCCCTACCTGCTGTGCTATCACTCTATCCCCTGCGATTGTTTAAATGGGGTGAAATCACGTGGTATGAAAGGAAAGGTTTACAATTTAATCAGTGTCACTCAGAATGCCAACAGTAGGTACTTCCTCTGCCTGGACAAGTGCCAGAACATTCTCCCCCCCCACAGCAGCCTTGTAACCATTGAACAGTCACTCTCTGCGCCCTGCCCTGTCCCCCAGTCCCTGTCCTGGAGTTCCCACTATTCGCTTAGTCTGTCTGGACTTCCCTACAGACCCTGCATTTATTTTTATTTATTTATTTTTTAATTTTTATTAGTGAGACACCGTGAGGTACAGTTGTAGACTTACAAATTTTTGGTCTTGGGTTTCAGTTATACAACGATCCAGTACCCATCCCTCCACCAGTGCCCATTCTCCATCATTTACATTTTTAAAAAAATGTTGTTAGTGAAACACCATGAGGTACAGTTGTAGACTTACAAATTTTTGTGCTTGGGTTTCAATTGTACAATGATCAAACACCCATCCCTCCACCAGTACCCATTTTCCACCACCACTGATCCCAGTATTCCTCCCACCCACCCCCATCCCCGCATCCCATCCTGCCTCTGTGGCAGGACACTCCCTTTTGTTCTCTCTCTCCTTTTGGGTACTGTGGTTTGCAAAAGAGGCATTGAGTGGCAATCATGTTCAGTCTATAGTCTACTTTCGGCATGCTTCTCCCATTCTGGGAGGATCCTCCCAACACCCTTTATTTGGTGCTCCCTTTTCTATCTGAGCTCCCTTTCCCCCTAGCATGTGTGGGTGTCCTCCAAGCCATGGAGTAAACCTCCTGGTACTTAACTCGGCTATTCTATAGATCCTGCATTTAAATAAGATCATGGGGGCCAGAGAGATACTACAGCGAATAGGGCAGTTGCCTTGTACACAACCAACTGGGGTTTGGGGCCGGAGAAATAAGACAGAAGGTTGGGCATTTGCCTTGCACACAGCTGACCCAGGTTCAATCCCCAGCACCCCATATGGTCCCCCCCCACAAACACTGCCTGGAGTAATTCCTGAATGCAGAGCCAGGAGGAATCCCTGAGCATCGCTGGGTGTGACCCAAAGAGAAAAAAAACTGACCCAGGTTCAATCCCCAATACCCCACATGGTCCCTCGACCCACCAGGAGTGATGCCTAAAGTCCAGAGACAGGAATAACATCTGGAGTGATAGGTAGGGTAGGGCATTTGTCTTGTACATGGCCAACTCAAGTTCAATCCCCAGCATCCCATAGGGTCCCCCAAACACTGCCAGGAGTAATTCCTGAGTGCAGAGCCAGGAGCAACCCCTGAGCGTTGCTGGGTGTGACCCAAAAAGCAAAAAACAAACAAACAAACAAACAAACAAAAACAGGGCCAGGAGCAAACCCTAAGCATTGCCAAGTATGACTCCCATGCTATAAATAAACAAATGAATGATATCAAGGTGGCCAGAGGACTAGGGGTATATGAGCACTGACAAAGGAGTGTGTGTGGCCATGGCAGTTTCACAAGCCCAAACACGTGCAAGTGCCCCTCCGTGAGCCTCACGGAAACCCCCACCGAGACCCTACACCCTGGGTTCCAACAAGGACCCCTCTCCCCGGGGAGCATGCGTATGAGTCCTTAAAGTGGAAATAAGGGTGAGCCCTGAAACTGCGCATGTGCCCCCTGCCCCGGAGGCCAGTACAGTTTAGAAAAATTCTTTCTAATCACTATTTTTTTTTCGTTTTAGGTCACACTCAGCGATGCTCAGGGGTTGCTCCTGGCTCTGCACTCAGGATTTACTCCTGGCGGTGCTCAGGGGATCATATGGGATGCCAGGGATCGAACCCAGGCTGGCCCCGTGCAAAGCAAATGTCCTACACACTGTACTATCACTCTGGCCCCTCTAACCACTATTTGTGAATTTTCTTGCTTTTTCGTTTTGTGCCCGACTTACCTACAAATACACAGAGACTTTATGAAGAAATTCCATTTTTAGGAAACTGTGTCACAGATATGGTAACTCAAATACCACAAGACACACAGAATGACCACAACGAATAGTGGAAACCATTCACCATTGATTCCAAATCTCAGTATATTCTTCTTAGACTTTCAATATAATGAGCTTTATTGTAAAGGAAAGCACAGAGGTTTGGGTGGGTTTGGGTGGTGCCGGGCACAGAACCAGGGCTCACATGGGCAAGGCCAAAGCCGCCCATGAGTGGCATCCTGGCAAACATGGAAGTCACTGACAGACGCAGGCGGCAGGCCTCTATATGGTGTCTCTCCTAGCAACTGGAAGCACTTAGAAGGGAAGGAGCAAGTATGCATGTGTGTGTTTGCGCCACCTAGGTTCCATCTGGGCTCAAACCCGTGAGTGTTGTGGGACTAAGGTTCCCCCAGAACAGGTTTCCCCAAGCCCAGAGACTGAAACCCAGAGTCCTTTTGAGTCTATGCAGAGATTCAGCCTAGAAGGACGCGATCAAGAAGAACTAAGAGTGCAAGGGTGGGGCTCTACAGCATTAGTGTCCTTGGAGGAAAACACAACTGAGGGAACCTGCCTCAGCAGGAGGCATCTAATTGGTACCCCAGTCCCCCCCAGCCTGTGCCTACTGAGGATACAAGTAGCCACCGACCAATAGGCCAGAATGAGCATTTTCAGCAGATGGAGCTCACCTCTCATCGGATGTGGGAACTTGACCTGCAGACTCTGGGGAACAATCTCTACTGCTTCAGTTGCTCAGCACAGGCTCTCTGAGACAGCCCTGAGCGGATTTGTGCACTAATATTACGTGCCAGACTGTGGGCCTGGGGCTGGGCACGGACTGGGCCCCAACATGGTTGTCCCTGCCTGAAATGCAGGGTGTAATCTAGATCCCCCACCCCCACCCCGGGCTGGAGGGATAGCACAGCGGTAGGGCGTTTGCCTTGCATGCAGCCAGCCCAGCCAAGCCGGGTTCGATTCCTCCGCCCCTCTCGGAGAGCCCGGCAAGCTACCAAGAGTATCTCACCCACGCGGCAAAGCCTGGCAAGCTCCCTGTGACGTATTCGATATGACAAACACAGTAACAAGTCTCATGATGGAGACCTTACTGGGCCCGCTTGAGCAAATCGATGAATGGGAAGACAGTGACAGTGACAACCTAGACCCCAGCATGCCTGGTGTGGCACTGAGCCACCACCGCACACTCCAGGCCCAGGAACTAAACCAGAGTTGCCAGGGTTGAGTAGCCCCAAGACCCACCCTTCTCTGTTCCTACCCCCTCAAAAATTCAAACTCTTGCTCCATTCCTGTGGGACCACACAGGAGCCCAAGGCATGATTGGAATTGTTGTGATTGATTTGTCTCTTCCCCTTGACTGCATTACCAACACGATCCTAATCCAAGAAGGACCAGGATCCCAGGAAAGATCCAATCACTCCAAGAGCATCCTTGGATACTCTCCCCTCCCTCACCCACCCTGCCCTCCATGGAGTCCTTCCAAGAATCACCTCCAAACAAAGACACCAGAGTTTGCAAGTAAAAAACACACTCAGTCCTTTATTGTCCAGTTTGGCTTCTGGATTCACTGAGAATAATAAATGCCTTTTCCCACCAACGGCTCAGGCTGAAGGAGCTCATGACTTTCCATCCCCACACCCAAGATAACGCCAACATACCCATGCACCAGAGAAACAAGGCAGGACCCCAGTAACCAGGGGAGCCAGGGAAGGGAGTCATCCTTGGGCAAGACACAGAAGTGAAGCTGAAACCAGGGCGCAGGGAGGCTCAGAGGCTCTGGCTCAAGACGAGAGTCTGTCAGTTCAGTGGAAACTGCAGTCAGGGGAGGTTTCCATATAGATTTGAGACCATGAAACTCCTCCTCTCCTGCAGGTCCAGGTCAGAGAGTGGCCCAGGTGCCAAAGAAGTGAGATTCCGGCTGAAGAGTCCTGTCTTCCTCACCATCTGGAGGCAAAGGGTAGACCCCAGGGAAGGGAGCACGGAGAAGAGACATCCAGTATTGCTGGTTCTCTGGAGGCACAGGGTAGGCGTCAGGGAGCGGAGCCTTGCGGGGAGGCACCTCCTGTCCCTGCTTGGGGCCCTTCCCACCAATCTCATCCAGCTCGACCTTGTTCCTATCAAGGTTCCGGGACTCCACGTTCTCCGCCTTCTTCCCGCCAAAGAGCCAGTAGCCGGCGCCGGCCCCCGCCACCACCGCCAGGCCCAGGTAGGTGTTGTAGGTCATGGCAATCAGCATCAGCAGGTAGCTCAGGACCACCTGGAGCACGTGCATCGCCGTCTGCAGGAGGTGAGCGGCGCTCAGCAGCTGTGGCCGAAGCGTCTCCTTTGGGCGGCCGCCGTTGGGTCTGGGGAAAGGCGAGCACTGGGCACGGAGCCCCTCGCGGGCTCTCTTGAGTCCCTCATAGCCCAGGGCCAGCAGAAACACAGCCACGACAGCCACGGCCATGGCCTCAGCCGAGTCGATCAGCAGCCCCGAGAACAGCAGCTCCACGTTCCTGTAGCCGAAGTAGAAGGTCATAGGCATCATGTGTGCACTGCCACCATGGGAGTGGGCCCCGTGGTGGCCGGAGGCTGGGATGGAGGAGCCAGGGTGCTGGGGTGGCCCATGGCGCTCATCCCGGAGTGATGGTGCGAGTGGTCCATGGTCCCAGGAAAAGCCGTGTCGTAGAAGGTTCTGGAAGGACGCTGGAGTCTTGCACTGCAGCCTCTTCTCAGAGATTCTGGTAGACACCAATAAGGCTCCTCCAAGGCCTGGGAGGAGACCCTCCCTGACCCTCCCTGGCTCTCCCTAGAGACCATCCCTAGAGACCCTCCTTAGAGACCCTGACTGAGAGATCAACTCTTCAGACCAGCTTTGCTGGTCTGTATCACTGTAGCACTGTCCTCCCGTTGTTCACCGATTTTTCTCCAGCGGGCCCAGGAACGTCTCCATTGTGAGACTTTGTTCTTACTGTGTTTGGCATATCGAATACGTCACAGGGAGCTTGCCAGGCTTTGCCATGCGGGCGAGATACTCTTGGTAGCTTGCCGGGCTCTCCGAGAGAGGGCAGAGGAACCGAACTCAGGTCGTCCAGGTCTGCTGCGTGCAAGGCAAACGCCCTACCTGCTGTGCTATCGTTCCTGCCTTGCTGGTCACAATAGTTAAAATCTCAAAACAAATAAAAAGAGAAATAATAATCTCAGCTCTATCCAGGTTTCATTATCATAAGAAGAGAATCGAGCCTTCTCGAGGAAAAGCAGTTCTCCCTTCTGAAACGAAAGTGTGATCATTTTTTTTTCTTTTGGTTTGGGGCCACACCCAGAGATGCTCAGGGATTCCTGGGGTTCTGCACTCAGGAATTGCTCCTAACAGTGCTTGACATAGGATGCCAGGGATTGAAACCAGGTCAACGGTTTGCAAGGCAAGTGCCCTACCCACTGTGCCTTTGCTCTGCCCTCTCAAATGGGCTCACATGAAGCAAAATAAAGCCCAAGAGTGTTGCTGAAACTGACTTCAAAATACGGTGATTATTGTGGTTGAGGCTCTGGGCTGGGCCAAGTGTAAGTTCTCTGGTTGCCAGAAGATGCAGTTACCAAGGGTGGGGCTTTACCAGGTTCAGTGCAGATGAGCTTAAGACATGGGGGCCGAAGAGCACCTCATTCCAGATGGCTGTGGGGTGAAATACTCCCCAAAGTGTGGGCTACTGGACAGAGAATTGAGGCCCAAAAGCAGAGTACATTAGAGCCAGAGAGACCAACCACAATCTAAGCAGCACATTCCCACACTTGGCTGCCCACACATAAATCCGACAAAGTCGGGACCAGAGACACAGTCCAGGAAGTAACGTGCCGCCTTACTGGCTCTGGCCTTCAACCAGAGCCTTTGGCCTCTCGCAACATGGAATGTGCCTTGAGCTCTGCCAGAGTCACTCCTGAACACAGAGCCAGGACTCATCCCTAAGTATCACTGAGTGTAGTTCTACCACCCCAGGAAACAAAAAAACAAATTATACAAGACCATAATAGTGGAGATCTGAACATGGAAATGTGTGTGACTAGTTTCCAAAAGAAAAGAAAAATGTGGCCATATACTTGGAGTATAGTTATTATACTGACATGTTGGATTTAGTTTGTTTTTTGCTTTTTAGGTCACAGCCGGCAATGCTCAGGGGTTACTCCTGGTTCTGCAGTTAGGAATTTACTCCTGGAGGTTCTCCGGGGACCATATGGGATACCGGGAATTGAACGTGGGTCAGTCGCATGAAGACAAACACCCTATCCACTGCACTATTGCTCCGGCCCCTGAGATGTTGGTTTTAGAAAATAAGGTTCATGAAGCAACTATCACAATTATGACGCCCCACCCCCCAAAAAATGATCTAAGGGAAATCATGAAAATACTTCAACTAGGGAATAGCAGCAGCAAAGACAGTAATTATGCAGAGTTCCCTGAATATTTACAGGGGCAAGTCCTGAGTCCTGAGCCAGGATTACCCCCAGAGCATCCCAACATGTAGCCCCCAAACCAACTATGACAAAGAAGCCAAAGCAGAGTTAACAACCTCCCAGATGAACAACCAAGGGGAGAGTCTGTGATTGGCCAATCCGTGTCTAAGCTGTGATAAAGGAGTTCCAGCCCTTTGGTATCAAGGCGTTGACACCAGGTGATCTTCAGGTCACTGGAATCTGAATAACCACACAGAGCAGAGAGTTTGATACGAGGAAGCCCATCTGGCAGCCAAGTGGCCTCAGCCAAACTTCCTCAGGCAGAAACAGCCACAGGGGAAGAGCCACTTGGGAACCACGGGAGGAAACGGACCCTGCAGCCAGGTCCAGCCTGAGCCGAGTCTTCCAAGCCCACAGGGCACACCTGGACCTCAAGGTGCCAGCCTTGTCCTGAAGGGGACACAGGGGCACTCTGTGTCTCCCACAAGACTGACAACACAGGCCCAGACACACTTTCTCCCCAGCTGTGTCCTTCTCGGCAGCCTCCCCTGGTGACTGTGCGTGTCCTTCCCTGGGTGGATGACGGGCAGAGCGTGACCCAGCCCTGGGCAGCTGCTTTCCCCACAGAGGACTCAGGGCATAGGCCTGTCCCTGCGCGAGATCCCATGGAGAAGAGGCAGGGATCAGACGCTCTGGGCCTGACGGGTCTCCAGCGACTTCATCTCACTGCAGCTCAGAATCATCATCAGGGGAGAGACTGTGATGAACCAGACTGTCCAGACTCACGACATCCTGCTTCTGAATGTGCCTTCCTAGTTCCAACCCTGTGACCTGTGCCAACCACGTGATGTCCCAGGCTTTATTTCTGAAACGAGGGTGGTCACCTGGGGTTCAGGGCCAACAGTGTGCGAGTCTCGATTCACAGCTTTGGTCGAGTTGTGTTTGGTTGTGTCAATGCCAGGGTCCTGCCGAATCAAAGACCTATGAGAACCTTTCCTACAGCATATTGCCGAGAGTGTGGGGACACAGGTATTCTGGCTAGAGACAGCACAGTGGGGAGCGCGCTGGTCTTCCCTCTGTCTGACCCTGGTTCCATCCCCGGCATCGCATATGGCCCCTGGGCACTGCCAGGAGAAAGCCCCAAGAACCACTGGGATCTTTTTCTGAGGGGTGGTACAGATATTTGGAGGTGAGGGAAGGGAAGAAAAGAAAAGGCAATTTCTTTTTAAGTTAGAGTTTATTGTTCAGTTTAAATAGATGGGTCTAGGTCCTCCCCAAATGTCCAGACCTCCCCTTTACCCATGAACAATGTCACTGGGCAAATTTTTTTTTTCTGATTTGTGCTCTTTTTTTTTTTTTAATTTTTATTAGTGAAACACCATGAGGTACAATTGTAGACTTACAAATATTTGTGTTTGGGTTTCAATTATACAATGATCAAATACCCATCCCTCCACCAGTGCCCATTTTCCATCACAACTGATCCCAGTATCCCTCCCATCCCACGCTGCCTCTGTGGCAGGGCATACCCTTTTGTTCTCTCTCTCCTTTTGGGTGTTGTGTTTTGCAAAAGAGGCATTGAGTGGCAATCATGTTCCGTCTATAGTTCACTATCAGCATGCTTCTTTCAACCTGGGAGGATCCTCCCAACACCCTTCGTTTGGTACTCCCTTCTCTATCTGAGCTGCCGAAAAGGCAATTTCTAACACCTCATGGATAGAAATGTTGATTGAGGGTGGGAGGGTGTCAGGAGGGCTCAATGCTGTGCTTGGGGGTGGGGTTCTGTCCCTTCCATGGCCCCCTAGACACAGCCTGGCACTGCTCTGCTGGCTCCAGTCCCGTGGGGGAAACCCCAGCCCAACAAAACAAATGAGGAATATAAATGAAAAAACCTGACTGATTCGAAGTGATGCATATATCAAAATTATATGCACAAGGCTCTTTCTTTTTTGGGGGGTTTTTGGCTCACACCCGTTGATCCTCAGGGGTTACTCCTGGCTTTGCACTCAGGAATTACTACTGGCAGTGTTCGGGGGGACCATATGGGATGCCGGGGATCTAACCTGGGTTGGCCGCGTGCAAGGCAAATGCCCTCCCCGCTGTGCTAACAATCCGGCCCCTCAGTATTTACTCTTCAGGTGCTCAGGGGCACTATATGGGATGCCAGGGATTGAACTTGGGTGGGCCTTCCCCCCACATTCCACCCAGTCTGAGGGAGGGTCTCAGAGGGAGGAGCAGAGATTGAGTTCAGCAGGGAGAAGCTGGAGGGAGGGTCAGGGAGGGTCAGGCGGATCAGGCGGGTCAGGGAGGGTCAGGGAGGGTCTCCTTTCAGGATATAAGAGGCACGACTCTGAGCTGACTTAGCTGCTGTCTGCCTGAGAGTCTGAGAAGCGGCTGCAGTGCAGGACTCTGTCTTCCTTCCAGATTCTTCTGCCCAAGGACTCACTTTTCCTAGGACCATGGACCACTCGCACCATCAGTCCGGGATGATCGCCATGGACCACACCAGCACCCCGGCCCCCCCTCACCACCACCACCCGCCGGCCACCATGGGGCCCCACTCCCACGGCCACGGCGGCGGCAGCGCACACACGATGCCCATGACCTTCTACTTCGGCTACAAGAACGTGGAGGTGCTGTTCTCGGGGCTGCTGATCGACTCAGCTGCGGCCATGGCCGTGGCTTTTGTGGCCGTGTTTCTGCTGGCCCTGGGCTACGAGGGACTCAAGAGAGCCCGAGAGGCGCTTCTGCGCAAGGCCCAGGAGAGGCTCCGCGCCCAGTGCTCTTCTTTCTCGAGATCCGACGGAACCTGCCCCAAGGAGACGCCCAAGCAGCAGCTGCTGAGTGCTGCTCACCTCCTGCAGACGGTGCTGCACGTGTTCCAGGTGGGCCTGAGCTACCTGCTGATGCTGATTGCCATGACCTACAACGCCTACCTGGGCCTGGCGGTGGTGGCGGGGGCCGGCGCCGGCTACTGGCTCTTCGGCTGGAAGAAGGCAGAGGATTCCGGAGCCTTGAGATGAACATGGAGAGGCTCCAACAGGAGGGCCAGGGCAGCTGCTTGACCCTGGATGAAAGGGTCCCATCCACAACGCCCGTGTTTCTCTCCCACAAGGCCCTCCAGTAGCCGGTGAGCTGAGTCTCCGTGCTCCAGTGTCCTCCTCCCCTGACTCTTCTCATGAGATGGCGGTTTTCATGTTTCATCTCATTTCACTGACTCTGTCTCTGCTTCTTGTGATGGCGGTTTTTTTTTCTTCCTCTGGGTGGGTATGTTGGGGTTTACCTGGGTGGCCGGGAAGGATGAGTTTCAGCCGAAGCTGCTGCTGGCTGAAGCGACTCGCCCAGTGAACCTGAACCCCAAATCACCATTAAAAATCCTGGAGTCTTCACGCCCTTTGTGTGTGAATTTCATGTTGTATCTTTGTGCAACTCTAGTGTGGAGGATATGGGCGGGGGGGGGCAAGAAAAGGGGGTGCACACAGATGTGTTTTCTGGGGAGGCAGTTCTGCCTTGCATTAGAATTGACCTGTCTGCAAAAGATCACGGCAAGAGTAGAAAGTGCATATCCACAATTTTATTTTTGTTTGTTGGGGCCCAAGTCTGATAGTCTGTGCTCGTCTGGGTCAGTGCTCAGTGGTCACTCTTCAGTCATAATCAGGGAATATTAAGTATTGGCTTGGAACCAGGCTTGGTATATGCAAGGCAAATGTCTCAATACCCTATAATATCTCTCCTTTCCCCAAACCTGTTGTTTAAAACCAGGTCATTGAATGTTACGTGGTACACTGGGAGTTCACAGCAGAATCCAAGAGTTTTTGATCTGGGGGGCCGGAGAGATAGTACAGTGGGTAGGGCATTTGCCTTGTACACAGCCTACCAGGGTTGGATCCCCGGTATCCCCCAGGCATCATTAGAAGAAATTCCTGAGCACAGAACTAGGAATAAGCCCTAAGCACTGCTGGGTGTGGCCCCAAAACCAAGATTAAAGAATTTGATCTACTTGTCATGACCATCCTGTTGTTCTGTCGATTGCCTCGAGCAGGCCCCAGTAACGTCTCCTTCATCCTAGCCCAGAGATATTTTAAAAAGTGCCATATTCAAGGCTCTTTCAGGGTTAGGAGAATGAGACCCATCATTGCTACTGGTATTTGGCATATTGGGTACGCCACGGGGAGTTTGCCAGACTCTGCATCTGCCGTTGATCTACTTACTTTTTCCCTTGGTCATGTGTTGCTTGGGGGGGTTGGAGAGTGGTTATTGGTTGAACAAGAAGCTCCTTATGGGAGTCAGAATACTGCTTCGTGGCAAAGCACATGTGTGCATATACAACACCTGGGTTCAGTTTCCTGACATGCAGCCTTGTCCACTAAAGTCAGGCTGCACGCGAGGTAGCAGAACAGAACCACTTGTCTCCTGCCACAAGGCAAGGTGGAGCGTCTCCCACTGAGCGACAGTGAAAGACCGGGAAGGAGCAGAGACAAGTACACCAGCAGTGGGAACCAGAGCTGCTGTGAAAAGGAAGCGTCAGAGCTGGAGAGAATCCAGCAGGTAAGGTGCTTGTCTTAAACTTCGCAGGCCCGGGTTTGAGCATCAGAAGCCAGAGTGATAGTCCAGTGGGAAAGGTGTTTGCCTTGTACACAGCCAACGCGGGTTAGATCCCTGGCACCACGTGTGGTCCCGAGCCTGCCAGGAGTGGTCCCTGAAGACAGAACCGGAGTTAGACTTAAGCACTGCCAGGTGTGGCCCAAATACCAAGACAAGGCAAAACATAAACACATTTTAATGTATGATTGGTTTGTCTGTTTGGGGGTCACACCCGGTGATGCTCAGGAGTTAGTCCTGGCTCTGCACTCAAGGGAATCACTCTTGGCGGTGCTCAGGAGACCATGTGGGATACTGGGGACCAAACCCAGGTTGGCCAACTATAAGGCAAATGCCCTCCCCGCTATACTATCTTTCTGGCCTTATACAATTTTATACCTTTATAAAATACAAATTGATTACATATACCTGGAGTGGGTTAGCCTGAAAGGAGCTAGGAAGGCTAGGAAGGAGTTAATTAACTTGCGGAATTGCTTTCTGTAAACAGTTCAGCAGCCTTGAGGTTACAAAATTGGATTGAACCCAGTAGATGTGTAAGGTATGGGCTAGAATAAGACATAACTGTTTAAAGACAGATAGTGTGTTTTGACCATCCTGGAAACTGAAACTATGTGACCAGGTCAAGAAGTTTGGATCGAGATACTCCAAGAAAAACCGCAAGGAACCCAGCAAAACACGACTTGGGAAACTATGTGCAAAATAACACGTATTGGCAATATGTGGTCTTTGTTCTCAAACTGTATAAAAGATGACCTGTTTCTGAGTTCGAGGCTCACAGCCTCTGCCCGTTCTTGGGTACGCTGTGGAGTCCCAGCATGCTGGTCTGAATAAAACCCCGCTTGAATTCCTGCAGGAACTTTGTCTGTCTGGTCTCTCTGTGCCTCCCAGGGCTAGGGAACTCCCGACCCCAACAAGCCATGTTTACATAGTAAAATCACTCCATCCACACCCACACACTAATACAATCACAAAATTGAACAGAAGAGAACCAGGATCTTTGAGGCCGAGCTCCTGCCTAGGCCTGGACTCTGGGGGAGAAGGAAAAGAGCCAAGGGGGTTGGGGACGGCACGAGGGGACAATTCATACTGGCACATGCCAGCTCTGAGCAGGGGCCCAGCCCTGCAGGGCCCCTGGGCACCACTGGGTGTGGCCCTCAACCTCAAGAAATAATAGTGGGCCTGGAGCGAT